AAATAAAAAGAAAAAGGAAAGAAATTGTTCACTCCCTTCTTCACTCCACTCCACTCCACTCCACTCCACCCAAAATAAAAAATCAGCCACCACCGCATACGGTCACCACAAACCCACCGCCGGGCCATTTCGCCTCTGCTGCCACCACTACGCCATCGCACCGAAATCACCACAACAACCACATAAAAATCGCCAATTGCCACCGGATCCAAAACCCAAAATTCCCAATTTCCCACCATCAAACTTCACATGCACACACCTTCACCATGGCTAAAATTCTTCGCAACCCGAACCCCTGAATTGCTAACTAAGAAACCATTATCCAATGCTCCTAAGGTCAAGCTCTTCAAATTCCTTCAATAAATCTTGATGCCCTCTTTCTGACAAACCCTCTGGAGTCTTTCTAGGATTCTTCCACGCCCCATCATCTGCATCCTCCCAAGTAGAATCGTCCGATTGCTCTGGTTTCGCCCTTCCAATAAAATCTTTACCGTAAATTTTCATTTTATTTTCCTCCGTAGCTCTCAACCCTAAACATTCTCAAACAAACAGTCCTAAAATTTTGTGACAAAATTCCTATACTCCTCATCTTTCAGAAATTTTAAAGCCTATATTCCACCATCCACAATATCTACCCTCCGCTGATCTCCAAAGAATTTCATCTGCAAATCGGTTGTAAACCTAGCCTTGATTTTCGGATTTGGGTAGCCGACCGCTGGTGGAGATAATGGCCGGCTATTGGTGGCGGTGGTGGTGAGGTTTCGGGGTAAGGGATTGGATGAGCCGATGAAGTTTGGGAAAAGTGAGATGGGATTTTGGTTTTCAATTTTTGATTTAACTATTATAATTGTATTTTTAGTGCAATATATAAGCAAAGTTACCATTTTAAAAAATGTCGAAGGCCACTATTTTGGTCAACTAAATGGGAATTTATGAAATGTTTGAAATTGTGGGTGGCATAAAGTGATGATTAAAGTTACAAAAAATTCAATGGTTTAGAACCGCTGCTACAATTATCTCTAAATTTTTTTGAATTGTGTTACATGTACATTATCATTTACTTATTAATTTATATAAACATGATACGATGAATTATGATTAGATCAGAATATCATCAACCAAATATAAAAAAACTCCACCACTCTTTTTGTCACGTTATTTGTTGATAAACTGTAAACATTTAGGGTGCGTTTGATAAACTCAACCAAGTATAATGAGCACTTTTCAAAATTTATATAGTCCAACCCTCTTTCATCCCTGAATGACGACATGACAAACTGGAAACATTTAGGGTGCATTTGGTTTGTGTTTCGATTTTGAGTTCATTTTCAGTTTTTAGTTTTGATGGTTTATTTTGAGATTTCTAAAAACATGTATGATTTATCATTTTGAAAAATTATTTATCAAAACAAAAAGTTAAAAAACATGTTTGATTTAAAATTTTAAAGAATTATTTTATGACATTTTATTTCAACACATTTTATTATTCAATAAAAATGAAACGATTTTATATTAATATATTATCAATTAATATATATATATTTTAATGTTTGTAAATTTTACAATATTTTTTCTCACTACAAACCAAAATTAGAAAAAAATAAATTGAATACAAAATATATGAAATAAATGTAAAAATTAATGTTGTGTACTAAAAATATTTGTTTGTATTCATTTAAATATTTTTTTCAAAATTTTAATTTAATTTTTTCATATTTTTTATTTTTTAGAATTTATCAATTTTTCTTTTTAGAATTTTAAAAAAATATATTAATTGGTCATAATTTTATATTTTCATTATAAAAATTTTTATTTATTAAAATTTTATTTAAACATTTGTTTTTCATATTTTGAGTATTTTCGGAATTTTTACCGAAAACAGTTAAAATATCATAAATGCATATTGAGTTTTATATTATAAATTTATCAATATTTCTAAGAACTCATTTTCAAAAATAACATATCAGATGCGTTTTCAGTATTTTATAAAACTGAAAACGACTTCAAAATAGTAAATCAGACGTACTTTTAGCTCCTTTTGAGCTCCAATTCCTAAAAAAATATTTTTTTCAATAAAATAATTATACACATAAATTTAATTTAATTTTCTACTTTCTAATCACACATTTAAAAAAAAAAATCTATTACAAAATCTTCCTAAAACAATGAAGCTCAAACAGAACCTTACTGAAGTGGAAGTTGGGTGAAAAGAAATGGCGGGAAATTTTACGGCCGGTGGAATAGTAAACATAATTTTTAAAATTACTTTTTACTTTCGAGAAAAGTATATGAATTTTTGGTCCCACAATTTACAAGTATACAGAGAAAAACAAAAATCACTTGAAAGTTAAAAAGAACCAAAAAAGCCAAAAGTTTTTCAACTTTCTCCTCTTCTCCATCTCTAACCTGTCCATGAACAGTCTCCTCACTCTCCCCAGCCCTATACTCATAATCCTTCACACACACAGTGGGGGACAATGATGCGTTAAATGCGGGAGTCCTGTTTTGTTTTAGATTCCTTCCTATGTTGGCATTTTCGCTTCCAAATATGCTCAGACAGATCATCCAATATACCACACATTTGCTTCATTTTTGGCTCTAATTTGAGCTTTGTTTTGTTAATCTACTACTGGGTTTACTTGTATTTTATCTTTTGCATTTTTAGGGAAATACGCTTTTCAAGCACTGCCTGATTTTAAAAAAAAAAAACTTATTTTTTATCTTTGTAAAGATTTTTTTTAACTGTTTTTCATACCCAGATTGAATAAAAAACCAATCTGACAAAAAATCGAATACAGTTACTGGATTTTTGTGAGAAGTCACTATTGGTTGAGAGGATTTAGTTTTGGAGGTGAAAAATGGAGGGGAGAATGAACAAATATAGCCAAGTGAGCCCCGAAAGAGCAAAAGTATGGACAGAAAAATCGCCCAAATATCATTACAATCACAACTATATTCGGCAGCAGAATACTGTAAAAGTTCCTGTAGTGTATTATTTATGTAGGAATCGACAATTGGAGCATCCACATTTTATGGAAGTCCCCCTCTCTTCCCCTGATGGACTCTATTTAAGAGGTACTATTCAATTTTATTTCTATTAATTCAACTCACATGAATTAGTCTGTATTTTGTGGGGGCGGTCTTAGAAATTTTAAGATTTTGTTTGTTTTGAAGATGTGATTGAAAGGCTTAATGTTTTGAGAGGCAGAGGCATGGCTTCGATGTATTCTTGGTCTTGTAAGAGGTGAATTACACTGAAAATAGTCTATGATTTTGTATATGATTCTGTAATCTGGATTTGGTTTTGAATATTTATGAATTTTGATGTTTGGGCTTCTTTATCAATACAGGAGTTATAAGAATGGGTTTGTGTGGCATGATCTATGTGAAGATGATTTGATCCATCCTGCTCATGGGAATGAGCATGTTCTAAAGGGTTCTGAGCTCTTTGAAGAATATAATTCGGGTAAATTATAAATGCGGCTAGAATCTTTTACACATTTGTACGACATGGGGTATTTGTCCTTACCGTATCTCTATGCCTTTTGCGAGAGAAGCAAGTTTTATCACTATATGGAGATGTAGGGAAATTAGGAATCCATATCGAATCATGGGTTTCTAGTTCAGATTAATAAGTCAAGTCTGTTTATAGCTAATACCTCTTAATTTAATGTCCAATCAATGAAATTACAAAAGCACAAGGCTTGTGAACTACTAGTATTTCAGGTGAAAACAGGTGTTAATACCACCTAATGGACACCAACGAGTAAAATATCCTTGCGCTTCAGGACTCTAGATGCTGTAGCTACAAAAAATGCACTAACTGTAGGCAGGAGTAGGAAGTTATACGTTTAGTACACCCTTCAAATGGGAACTAGCCATTGAATACCATGAAGTGGTAAAGGTTCTTCTTGTGAACAAATACCCTAAAGAGAAATTGGCATAGGGAAAGAGAAATGGAGTGGACCATCCTACAAGAACGAAGTGATCCATCCATAACGATTCATCCATAGTATAAAATCATTTTTCTTCTTTGGTAATTTATCAAGGACTGTAGTCATAAGGATCCTCCTACCTCAACTGCTTCAACCATTTCTGAGTGCCTAATTGTATTTTCTGGGGTGAATGAAGATTTGATCATTGCACTATGAGTTCTCTTGCATTGCCCTTCAAGTGGGTTTCAAAAAATGAAAAATCCTTCATTGGCCCATGAACTGATCTAGTGAAATCGAAGAACTCAATTTGATTTTTCTTTCTTCCTAAGCATATGAACCTTGAATTTTCTTCTTACGCGTCATCAATTAGATGAATGAATATTTTGAAAGAACTTTTCAAGGAAAACTGGTCCGTTCACTTTCTATTTCTGATCCTCTGACGTGCCCCCTCTTGTTCAATTAATTGATGCTATTCCCTGTTCTTGAGACTGTTCAGTATTCAGACATTCGAGGGCATGGATTGAATTAACTATTAAAATTTTGTGATCTTAACGTTTTGGGATTTCGATAGAAGGAAACAATGCCTATGTGACTAAAAGAGGAAACAATTAGCAAAGATATGGCATAATTATTCACGCGCTGTCTCCTTGATGTTTTTATCAAAGAAGTTTTCAAATCTACAATCCTTAAACTATTCTACTTACTGTTTCTTAGGTCGCTTTAGTCCTATAATGGTACAGAATCCAAAAACATTACCAGAACCACCATCTTCCAGAAGCCAGGATGAATCTTCATCTCCATCTAGCTTGAACGGTAGAAGTATGAAGAATTCTCAAGACGATGAACTATCTCCTCCAGTTCATTGTCCGGGATCGTCTGCTGTGTCTCCAGAGTCCATTATCGGTAAAAAATCCAGTTGGAATGGGCCTTTGAGTTTGACACAGTACAAGGTCTACAAGGGTGATGGGCTCACTGATGCTTCCACTCAGACTGAGGAAAGTTCAAGCAGAGGTGTTAGAACGCAAGATACTTGTACAAGAGGTGTTTCAACTGAAGATGGTTCATTAGAACCAGAAAGTGGCAAGACTAGTGAAAACAAGGTTCCTCAGATAAAAGAAACTTCTGATATTTGCAGTGATTTAGTTTCACCACCTCCATCGACATCTAGTGCACCTTCGTCAAGTGGTAGGATTGATACTTTGGAATCCCTCATCAGATCTGATGCTAGAAAGTTCAACAGCTTTAGGATACTTGAAGAGGAAGAATTTCGAATACCATCCAGTATGAAGTTCAAACCTTCGAATATGCTAATGCAACTGATTTCTTGTGGTTCAATTTCAGTTAAAGATCACAGCTTTGGCCTAATTCCAACATACAAGCCAAGGTTTTCATATTCCAAATTTGCGTCCCCATTGTTCTCAACATCATCGATGTTGGGAGAGCATGATTACCTTGTGGAGAATCCGAGGCTAATGTGTATGAAACTGGAAGACAAGGAATACTTTAGTGCGAGCTTGGTTGAAACAAATATGCCCGAGGAAGGAGTAGCCGCTCTAAAACGATCTTCCTCATACAATGCTGACAGGTCGGTCTATTATTTACCCATGTTTGACTTCACGAATTATGCATATGTGATTGTACCAAATTATTGAGTACATAGTTTCATGACTGAACTAAGTGGAAATGCAATTTCTATGATTCTATGTTACTCCACTTTCAAGAATGGTGAATTTTATGCTATTTCAAATCCCATCTACTTTTTACCCCTGGACCATGTCCGTCTTTCACATTGTACGTTGGAACTCCAGTTCATGGTTGATCTAATATATATCATAGAATGATGCCATTTAATCTAAGTATCATAATATGATAGACTTAGTTGAAGGTGGAACTATGTGATTCATTTAATTGCGTCTCTTATTTTATGCCACTTAGGTGCTATGTAAACAGGTATTGTAATATCAATGGTACTAAATAGCATTACTCTATATGATAATTTGATATTTAAACGAAGGAGAAGTGGTCATAGTTGTTGTGGCAAAATCTCTTGATTATTATTTTGTTATTCATGTTTAACAAATTGGTCGGTGTTAACTTTTATATCCTTCAATATATCTTGTTCTTCAATACCTTCTTCATACTGAAATAAATGAAATCATTTGATGATCAAGGACTACAAAGGAAATAGATTCAGTTGAAGAAAAGGAAGAGGCCAGCTCTACACGTTTGAAGTGCATACCAAGATCGATCAAGGCTACGCTAAGCAAGCAGCCAAAATGTGAATCAATGAGATCCCCTATCTCCGAGGGGCCTGGAATCTTATCAGATAGAGTGGAAAATTCAAGGACTATTGCACCTGACACACCAGATTGTAGAAGCAAGAGAACTACCGAGCCTCTTTTGGGGAAAAAACAGTCGAGGAAACAAGAAACAGCTAGAGACAACAACGAATATGTTATCAAAATCGAAGAAAGTTAAGTTCCAACTTTTATCAGGGGCACTCAATTTACTAGTGTGAAGCTTCTTCTCATTTATGGAGGTTGAGATTTTCTCTCATTTTTTCAACAGGCTTGCTTCAGGAGCTCGGGTTATAATACAATCCAGGGCAGCTTCCAACAGCGAGCAGAGCTCCTAGAGATATCCAAAGATTGGTGGACAACGTCAGTTTTATGTAGATATCATGCAGAAAAGGCTGTTCATACTGTAAATGGTCCTTGGATGTATGTTTTCTCTAAAATTCAGTTCTTCTGAATTCCATTTAGTTTTTCTGCAAGTCTGGAATTGAGAAATGAGTGAAGAAGAAATAGCACATTTTCTGGGAGGAGCAATTATAGATTGAGAACTTAAAGAGTGGCTCCTGTAGAGGAATCCTTGTAAAAATTTTGTTACCAAACATGATTATGCAAAACCGTTATTACGAAAACACAACAATATTTGCAGTCGAAAAGAAAATTTTAACATTATGATCGCGTTTTATACAAACAGTTATACAAGACCATCGCGAGGACTAATGCATGTCGATGCAAAAAATGTCCTGCAAGAAAATTGAACCGCTTTACTAAGGAATATCTTCCTCGAACACATCTCCAAATAAATCCAATGAAGCGTCATCAAGAAATTTCTTTGACCAGAAATCATCCAACCATCTCTGCGATTCTAGAAGAGCACGAAGAAGATTCTGGGCCTCCTCGTATCTGTCTAGTGTTATACGAGTTGCATTTCAAGCATTTGCATGCGATGATGTGAAAATGCACTTCAGACGTTGCTCCACAGTCGTTGCATAGTATCCACACCTAATTGTACAAAATCATTAAACTAAGCGAAAAGCGAGTTTATTCATGATTTTATCCACTTCAAAATATACAATGCATACCATTTTATTATTGTACATCTCCGGCATTGGAGTCGAAGCAACCTGTATTCATTTTTGCAGTACATATTTAGCCAAATGGAAAGTTCTGTATTTGTACGAGTATCGATTGAGAGGAGACATTAGTACCTCTTCGTCGAGCTTTCTCCATACATTCGACATGTCACAGATGGATTTCGAGCAGACAGGACATGAGTACCTTAAAGATCCCAAAGAAAAAACACAAATCCTCTTACTAAACATGCAGAATTAAGAACAATTGAACAAAGAGCTGTGAGTTTAGCATTATTGCAAAGAAAACATTTTTATCGTGTTCCTTCAGTTCTTACCGGTAATGAAGCTCCATCTCCTCGACACATTCCAAATGTATAGTATGCCCACAAGGTAAAACAGTAATGTCTTTCATCGTATCGAATAGAAACTGCACATTTAAAAGCAAAAAGCCAATAATTTAAGAATGCATAAATATTGTGCTCACTTACAAGTAATCTTAGTTTACCTCAAAACAAACTGGACAGTTATGGTGCATTGCTCTTTCCACACAATGATGTGCATCCTTGATCAAATTCGAATAACAACATCCTGGGACCGTTAATTATGAAAAATTTCAAACATCAAAATAGAGGAAATTATAGCCTCGGACGAAAATCGAGATACAAGAATCATGTTAGCATACCACATTTGTTACAGTGGAAGAAATTCTCCTTGCCTCCGGTTCTGCAAAAGCAGTCATCAAAACAAAATTTAGAAATTTATTTCATGAGTCGGGAATACTGGACATGCCCAACTGAATTATTTATATCAAACATTCATGTAAAATTCAGTGAAAGGCTGGTCGTTTCATAGTTGCAATGGAAGGCATGCTTTAATGAACGAGAAATACATGAAAAATAGTATACAATCAGAAGCTTAATCATACCTACATATTCCACATCCGTCACAGTGGTATTGTTTCTTTGAGACCTAATAAC